GACACCAGAAGTTATAACAAGAAGCAAGAAAGAGCTCGTGGATCAAACGCTGCAAATTTCTCTACAAGTTTCAGGCTTCAAGTTCCAGTTCAAGAAATCAAGTGCAAGTTCAAAAACGAAGAACAATTCAAGGTCAAGTTCAAGCAATCAAGTTCAAGCTCAAGAACAAGATCATCGTTCAAGGCAACAAATACATATTCAAGATCAAGCTCAAAGGCCCTTGAATTTATTTACTATTGAAAAGTAGAATCAGAGGATTCATAGAGATTGTAACATTCAAATATTCGAAATAAATACTACGATTGTTGTAATATTTTTCGGTCTTGATTTTATTTTCTCGAACCAAATTTATTGTCTACACACTTAATTAAAATAAATTAATATAATTTGATGTATGCATCAAGTCTAAGTTAAATTTTATCATAGTTAACATAACCAGAAACCAACAAAATGGGCCTAGAACCAAATGCTGGGGGCAGTGAGGCTGGGGTTAATTGACACAAGAAGTAATCAAGGATACAAATTTCTAAATCTTTAGAAGTGTAAGGGGCTCTAGTGCAATTTTGATAAAAGCTCTATCTATTTATCCCTCAATCTTGCATCTTCTAAAGCTAGGGTTCTTTCCCTCAGCCGCCATCTCATAGTAAAATAGATCTTTTTTCTTCTTCATTTTTGTGTAAAGTTATGTTTATTTTGATTTAAGCAAATTTTTCTGGAACATGCTTTCTTTATTTTTTTTCATAATTTTGAATGGTTGTGGGTCGCCGAGGGATTAACATAAAAACAAAGAGGTGAAATGCAATGAATCTATAGAAGTCTTTGTGGAGAGAAGAAGGCCAAAACATTAATTTGATATCAGCTAAATTGCCCATTATCAATATTGGTTTGAGTACATTGTTACCTTTATTTTTATGTTAGTATATTATCCAGAACATGCTTGCTTTATTTTCTCGTCATTTTACATGGTTGTGAGTAGATTCATTTTACAAATACTACGAAGAATGTTTAGTATCACTGTGGAGAAACGAAGGTCCAACTGCCTTTTTGGAGTATGTTTGTGTTTGTGACAACTTCTGAATTTATGGATGAAAACACTTCATTGTTCCATAACCGTGATAATGTTGGGACTTGAATTATCTTGTTCTCAAGTTGAGCAAAATAAATCAAGCATGGCTTTAGGTAATTGCCAAAATTTTGGGTATGCCCATATTTATTTGCATTATCTTGCTAAGTCCAACCATGTATTGGTTCGACCTCTAGTGATTTGCTTCATTTTCTGTTTTTGTTTTCTGTTTGATCTCTGGAACCGCCACTATATTATTAAAATGTTTGTTTTCAGCATCAGGTAAGTCTAGTATAATAGTATGCAGTAACCTATTCTTTTTATCAGCTTGTACTTTTCTGGACTCTGGCTTCTACTTTCATGGTAAAAGGTGAATTATTGTGTATACCTGTGTTCAATTGAAAACATAGCTGACTCCACATTACCATTTCCATATGATTCTATGTGCTCCTTCGCCTCAACGGCAGAGCTAGGATTTTTAGTTTATGGGTTCAAAATTCTTAATCCTTTTTAAGTTATTATTTGTATACTTTCAACAAAAATTTAAAGACAAATACTACATAATTCAAACTAAAACTACTAGGTTTGGCCGAACTTGCTGCTAGCACTCTAGCTCCGCTGCTGGCTGTGTATCTTCTTAGATAAAAGGAGATGAAAATGCTGTAGTAAAAATGCAAATGATGTTATATTGCACTGCACATTTGCATTTGTTTGGGGTGCCACGAGAGATGCGGAACATTTTGCAGGTTTTGCTGTTACAACTGGGAAGGGAACCTCAGACATATGGAACACACTGCACTTCATATAGTGTTTTACAATTGCTCTACTTTTGGTTAACTTGAATTATGAACAAGATGTAAACATTTGGGATGTATTTTGGAGGGTAAATAGTGGATTGCATGAAAGAGACCAATTGAAATTTCTTGTTGGAAAATTATATCATCCAAATAGGGTGAAATACATTTCATGTATATATAAAAAAATTGATTTCCGTTGACGTAAGAAAAGTTTGGAATTTAATGACAAAGGTGACAAAGAAGTTGTTTTATACCATTTGTTCGAATCTAACTAGGCGTTTGGCCATAAATTTTGGAAGTTTTCTTCCAAACAAAAATTTCAAATATGTGTTTGTTTATAGAATTATTTAGTTTTTGGAAGATTTGAAAACCAAAACTTCAAATCCCAAATATATGACCCGTTCGGCCATAGATTTTGCTAAAAAAAAATTGGCAAAGAAATGTTTGTTTATAAATTTTATCCATATTTTGGTAAATTTTCAAAACTCAAAACCCAAATCCCAAAACCATTTGGCCCAAAATATTACTATTACATTTTTTAAAAATTGTCATAAACTTTCGTATTTTATAAAAGAGCCTACCATTTATTATTTTGTAACAATGTTGTTTCGTCTTCTCGATCATTTGATAGTGTATTATGTAGTTTATTATAAAAATGATAATTTTGTATCAAATTTATTTATGTTCAGGATTATGGTTTGTGATAATGATAATGAATATTATTGATTAATGTATTGTTGGGTATTTGTGATTGTTTTTAGAACTTGTGGGTTAAGTCACGTTCCATGTTTTTTTCAAAAAAAAAAAGTGAAATATGTTTTGAAAACTGATATCCAAACACATTTTCATCTTCAAACCAAACTTCACCCAAATTGAATTTTTCAAAACAAATTTGGCAATTTATGGCCAAACGTCAGCTATATAGCTTGAGACCTCTTTTTGGGCCAAATCATGACAATTTGGGACTTTTTAGCGTAAAAATTGCACGGGGGGGCGCCTTATTTGGTCGCTATCATTTAACTTATACCCATTTTTTAAAAAGTTTTAATTTGTACCCACTTTTTAAATAATTTCAGCCCCATTTCTCCTCCTTCGTTTTCTTCTTCTTCTTTCTTCTGCTGTTGTTGGTGCTGCTATAAAATTTCAGTTCATGGGATGATTGTCATAAGTATGTTTATCAGATTATTTAAAAATAAGTTATAAATAATTACGTAAGTTAGTAGACAATAATTTGTGAATATTTTAACGTACGGGAAGTTTAAGGTCACACTTAGTGATTCTTTTCATGATAATTCTGTTCTTTTCACGTTTATTGTTTCAAAAATTTATGATTTAGATATTGTTGGCAATCTAATTATTTTATAGTAGTAATACACTATGAAAGAATAAGGTGATTATTTATCTAGTATGTTAGAAATCTTTTTCAAAAACTTCAGCACTATATAAGCTGAAGTTATTTAGTTCATTTGTAAAAACTTCAGCACTAAATAAGCTGAAGTTTTTTTGTCCCGGATTCATTAGTTTTTTCATAAAGCTTTTTCAAAAACTTCAGCTTATATAGTGCTGAAGTTTTTACAAATGAACTAAATAACTTCAGCTTATATAGTGCTGAAGTTTTTGAAAAAGCTTTATGAAAAAACTAATGAATCCGGGACAAAAAAACTTCAGCTTATTTAGTGCTGAAGTTTTTACAAATGAACTAAATAACTTCAGCATCATCTACTGAAGTCTTTGAAAAAGCTTAATGACAAAACTAATGAATCCAGGACAAAAACACTTCAGCTTATTTAGTGCTAAAGTTTTTACAAATGAACTAAATAACTTCAGCATCTTATGCTGAAGTTTTTGAAAAAACTTAATGACAAAACTAATGAATCTAGGACAAAAAAACTTCAGCTTATTTAGTGCTGAAGTAAAACAAATGAACTAAATAACTTCAGCATCTTCTGCTGAAGTTTTTGAAAAAGCTTAATGACAAAACTAATGAATCCAGGACAAAATAACTTCAGCTTATTTAGTGCTGAAGTTTTTACAAATGAACTAAATAACTTCAGCATCACAAAACTTCAGCTACTAGAATGCTTAAGTTCAGCAATTACAAATAAAAACTTCTGCAAATAGAGAACAAAATTTCAACACTAGAATGCTTAAGTTCAGCAATTACAAACAAAAACTTTAGCACACTTGGTTCAGCAATTTTTGCTACTTCAGGCCCGTCTACTAAAATGCTGAAATTTGCGTGATTGCTTTTGCTACTTCAGGCCCAGATGCTGAAGTTACGCAAAAAAGTGGGTACGCTTGCAAATTTTTTTGCCAAGCGGGTACAAGTTAAAACGTGATCCAAAAAGCGGGTATAGATGCAAATGCCCCCTTTTTAGTTGGAAAAAAAGAGAGTACTTTTTAACATGTCAAAAGTCAAAACTTCATCCAAAATTCATGTCCAAACACATTTTAGATGTGACATTCGTACTATTTTCTGAATTCTCGTATCAGAATTCATGGCTCCATTGCTAGCTTCATCATTGAATATGAAGCAACAAGATTCTTGTTGTACTTGGTTTTGAAGGGCGTATAGCCATTGTGTTGCTAAGAGAGTGCTACTAGACCAAGTCTGAACATCTCGTAGCACTATGAACATCTTACAGGTAGTTGGAATTAAACTGATTTCTTACCCAAAANCCCAGATGTGGTGTATTCAAACTCGTATATTAATTTTTCTTTTTTCCTTTTCTGCTTTCACTACTAAAGCTTGTCTAGACATTTTCCTCCCAACCTTGTAGTGATCATCAGCCATTGACATGCCTTTTGTCTTTTTATAACCATGTTGACTGAGCCCGTTGGTATGCACCACAACTAATTGTACTAGGTATCGGTTACCTTTCACCATCATACATGTATCTGGAACTCTATCCACCAAAACTTAAACAAATAGGAAGGAAGCACTTAGTATTTTTTACCACTGCAGGAATTTGAGCTTTAAGGTTGTGTGCAAGCACAATCAAGCCAATAGAGTAGGTAAATGGAATATTCATTGAAATTGACGAATCTATTTCAGTTTTCATGTCATAAATGTCTAAATGACGAGGTACTTAAGCCGATAGAGTAGGTAAACAACATATAATAAAGAGATGGACAAAGAATGAACAGGACAAACAGACCTTTGAATCAGTTTAACAGAGAAATTGAATTAACTTCAGCAGAAACTTCTGCTTGAAAACATGTCAAAATAATGCAATATTTCTTCAAATCTTTCTCTACAAAAACCGTCCTCACAGAAAATAAAATATTTGAATCTCTTATATCCGAACCTAAGAATAAGTGCAGTATTATATTCTCTACATGTTCTCTCAATAACCCCAGCACTCCACCAAGCTGCAAAATGGGGGATTTGGAGGAGCCTCAAATTCAAGTGTAACAATCTGCAATTTATAACAATCTGCAATTTATGAGGAAATTAATGAGGTTGTATCTAAAGCAGACGTCAAGATATAAAAGAGATGGAAACTGAGGCCTAGCAGGTAGTTAAAAATTTGATTAGAAAAAGGCTTAAAACCATAAGGGCTAGTCTGTTCATATAATAAAACAATCAAGGCATTAATTAAACTTCGCTTTATAAGTATATCGTTTGGTTTCCGGCATACAACTCCTCAATGTTAATCTCCGATTACTAGTACCTGTATAACTTAAGTGAGAATCATTGTATTATTTTATAGAAGGAAAAAATGGTGAAATGAGAATGTGTAATAATAAGATAATTCTTGGCTTTAATATCATAACAATCCCGTATTATTATCCACCGCATAACAATCTATGTATTGTTATTCACCATAAGATCCATGTAATATAATCTAAATTAGTCTGAACAAAACGATCCATAAGTTTCCATCGCATCCAAGTTACAGGCGAGTTTAGTTTAAACTAGTGATATCACTGTTTCCACTATTCTTTGGTAACGATAGATATAAACATATAAATTGAAGCCAAAAGTAGTGGCTGCACCCGCATGTTCTGTCACAGAGCTACATCCACACGTAAGTATCTGTAAACCTAATCCATGGAACACCATAAGGAAACAGAGCAATTTTACCTTAAGAGTATCAGAATCCAAAAAGATTTTCCTATCTACACTAAGGAGTTGGGAAAGAACGGGGGAGGCAAACAGTTTGCAGTATAGAGCTGCAATATTTCTAGATGATTAATACTGATATACCCATGTTCAGATATAAACATATTCCAACGCTTTCCGAATTGGACTTCAGAAGACTTAAAGAAGGGACCAAAGTTGAATTCTTAAAACTTTCTAATTTAGACACTCACCATATGATAGGTAAAGGAGATAGACAAAAAAACTAAACATCTTCTTTCCGCGAGAAGGAAAGCACTTTTGGGGGCTGACAAAACTCTTTTGAATGGTTTAACGCGACTAGCAGACCACATCGTGCTCAATCAAATAATGAACACTGATTACGATTTGGATTGTCTCCCCGGCTCAATGGAAAGACAACCCCGTTCTACACTTCATCAAGAAGAAAATCATGCCTTGTCTATTCCTCCAAATACCATTTGCCTTCCCACAGCCAAGCAGCAAAACGACGAATTCAACCTCAAATATCCTTTAGATAGCACATGCTAAAAAGACAGAGAACCCACTACCAATAAGGGTTTCTGCAAAAATGACACCCATGCATAGGTATGTTAGCTGTCACTGCTAATAGAACGATCATGATCTGCAGAATTCACCACCACCCCGAAAAGGGTTTAGACAAAAAATGCACACATAGGTATTTTAGCTATCACTGCTTCCAAGTATATTGTTATTTTATTGATAAGGATCAAACCTTCCAAGTATTGCCCTTTAAAAAGTGTTCTATACAACTCTCCCAGGCCCCACTTGTGCGAATATACTGGGTTTGTTGTTGTCTATACAACTCTCACAGACATCAAGCCCATTCGTTGGATATTTAACGGTAATGGGATATTTTTACCTTTATATCAACTTTTTCAAACAACAGTTCGATATTTTCTTCTATAACAAATATAATAGACAATTCATTTCTACTTCAGTCTCTATGCCTTGCTGAAGCCATGCCATATAATAGGTACCCATAGAATTAGTTTCTGAACAAAAACTACATAAGAAAAGGCCACCTAATTTAACCATCACGGGAAAACATAAGGTAAAACCAAATAACGTTGTAAAATCTCTTTAAAGATGGGGAATATAAGATACCGGCATATCCAGGTCATACTAAATTCCGGTTGACCTGATCAACTGCCTCCCTTCTGCTTGACTGTTATCTTGTCCCCCAAGCTAAGTGCAATTCCTTGCGTTTTGCTCCTTATCCTAATATAACCACTCAGCTTACCATCTGCTTGTTTCTCAATGCTTACATTCACCAAAGCATCCTCACCAAACACACTCTTTGCATACAAGTTAGCAGCAAGGAACCCGCATTGCCCTTCCAAAGCAGACCTGAAATTTTGCATGAAAGCACATCCGGAGATATAGTGTCAATAAAGCCATGCATCACAAGAAAAAATGACATTACTCAGTATAACCAGATGAGTAACAGAAAAAAATGAACCCGAAGGCCATTGTGGAGTTTGAAGCCATTAATTTAACAAACTCATTTTAAGCGGTTAAATTACATCCAACAGAGAAAGAAAACAATGGTACAAAGAAGAAGCTAAACTCCAATAACAACTACCTATTTACCCTAGATGCATAACTAGTATGATCCCAATCTGGTCAAGTTTACCACTTTTCCCTTGATAAAGTAACATGTGCTATCCAACTCAAGATTCTTTCACAATTTCTGAATATACCAATACCAAAACTTTTCTGGGTGCGCAATGTAAAACCTGTAATTGGAATAGACAGATCCCCCCTGATACTCTGTTCTCACGACTTCTGAGACTACCTATCATTTGGAAAGCTCCGAGGTCTTAACAGTAACTGTTTTAGCAACTATGAAACCAATGGTCCTAATATCCTAAAGGAGGTTAGAAGAGTACTCCTAAACAAATCTAATCCCAGCCATACGCAAACACCATGATAGACATGAAGAGTCATTTAAGTACTTCCAGATTTTCACACAAGTAGACTTAAAAAGAAAATGAAACCCAGACACTTGTTTATGTGCACACATTCTTCGTATCCGTAATGGAAAATAATAAACACTTAGTTAAACACAACACGTTTCTCATCAATAATGAACTTCTAAGTTTATACAGCAGAATAACCCTAGGGCTACAGGTCTTGTTACGATAGATAATACCTTACCTTTTCTTTTTACTAATTGTCTCCAAAACAAGTTCTCTGTATCACAGCTTTGGACTATGAAAAATGGGAAATGCAATAATCCAGAATTAGATGGTATGGGTATCAATCATGACAAAATCAAAAATTAGAAAACACAGACATAAAAACCAAGCACCAACCGTCCATATTTAGAGGAGGCAAGCGGATAACTTACAGTGCAGTAAGGCATTTCATGTTGGTTGATTTGATTATATGGTCAAGGAATTCTTTTTCCTCCTGAATGACAGTGTTGACAGCAACCTGCAATGCAGACAGTTAGTGGCTCATTCTCAAGTGCTTATACATATTATTCATGCGGACATTGCTCCGCAACGTTGATGGTAGGACAAACAAGAGATTATTTCAAAGTTTAGAGACTAAACAGTGCATTGATTAATCAATAAACTCCATAAAGAGATCAACATTCACAAAATTAGCTTGAGGACTAGATCACTTTCAAGCCATTAATAATCTATAGAAGTTTTTAGTAAACCCATGCATAACCTAAATTTTGATCCCACATAAACCAAACCATAAGATTGTAAATCATCAAAAACAACAAAGAACGACCATACCAAATATTCATTTTCATTTCTCCAACAAAAAATGAGTTGAATACCAGGAAAGAACAATTCAATGATGGTAAAATAGCAAGGAACAGCATCTTACCTTGTTTTCCCACTCAAATTCTGCCCACATGGTTCTAAAAGCAGCATCACTGCACACTGCAGGAGAGATGTAATCCATGATGTCAATATGGATATCGTTTAGCACAACCACTGTCCGCTCAAGCACATTAGAACTCTCATAAACAATGTTCCCAAAAATTACGCCCGTCTCAGTTGAAGACACCTTGATGTTTGCTTTTATCTGTTTGCTTAACTCAGGAGCAAGAGTATAATTCTGTGGACGCTCAACAAGTTTGAGATCACCCATTGTTGCCAATTCCAAACATAAATTCTGGAGGGTCTCTTTAGTTCTATTAATAACTGTCACATCCAGGACAATATCATAATGATGAACTGTCACGTATGCTTCAGCATAAACAGGATCACTAAATCCCGTGAGTTGCAGAACCCGATTTAGTCTATTAGCATCATTCTCATCCTTGACAAATTCTCCAGTGGCACGTTTCAAATCATCGTGGACT